ATATTTATGCATATTTAAGATTTTTTAGGGCATATTCAATTGATTTTTAATGCATAAAAATTCGCGCTCTAGTCATAAGTTTATCTATCATATTACTTTATCCAACTACATGTTTGTAATAATATATCTAAAATAAAATAATACGAGACTTAAATTATATAGCAATAGAACAAATATTATAAGAGATATAGTTTTAAAATATGTATAATTGTGTTAATTATTATGACTTTATATATTATACAGCCACATTTCAAAAATTAGAAATATTCCAAAATATAATTTATAAGTTTGTGCAAAGCTTCGGTATAAGTATATAAATTTAATAAAACTATATAAATATTATTATGATTATGACTGATATTAAAGATAGGTGTTGTAACTTTGTGAAGATTTGTGTTTATCAGATATCATCAGACTAACAAAATTTAATTGTGATAATATTGAATCATGATGATTACCTCCAATAATTTCCACCTCCAGCCACTAAAATAGGTGTAAAATCAGACAATTACTCCGTCGTATTTTTTTTACAGGTCTGTATGTGAAAAGTAAATAAACATAGTAAGTAGGTAAGAAAACCGTTATCGTATCCAAACAACTATGAAAATAATATTTCACACACTGCATGTATGCAGAAGTTACGTACAAATGTACAATGCAATAATAAATCCTTAAAATACAAATAAAGCTTAAACTGAACAAGCCAATTCTTTAATTTTAAGCCTACATGTTACACAAAACAAAATACATTATGTAAATTACCAAAAATAACAAAACAATGCAATTATTATGCAATTTGTATTTCAAAACATGTAATAAGAACATAAATAAAAAATATATTTTCAAAATTAAAATCCGAGAATTTTAAGTTTAATGTAATTTTGTCAGCTTTTTAGATTTAAGTAAGTCGAATAAAATAAATATTACGTTCAGTGTCCTTAGGCCTCGGCCCAATAAAAATGTATATTATATAATATGTATATAATTTGTCGAGCTTATACTGACTTATTTTGAGGATGATTTCAATATTACCAGTAATTAGGATATGATTTCAGATTGAATTTACCAAAGTATAGCTTAGGTAAAGTAGGAGGCAAATTTATCTCGGGTTTCCCATTATCCGTATCATTTTATTTCATTAAACCAATTGTAATAGCCAATCGATGMTTGGATAAGATTTATGATTTTTGAATTTATATGTAGGTATAATATRGGTATTATATACAATAATATTATATATGAATAACTTGTAGATGTTACATACTATGTCCGGAATTGTACATTTCGCAATTTGTAYAGTGATTTTTGTACACATCGCGAATTGTACAATGTTGCTGTACAAAGTAACTAGATTGTACAAGTGTTTCGTTATACAATTCGCGATATGTACAATA